TAGAACAAATCCTTCTGTTTATTGAATTAAAAGAAAGTAACTGTATGTCTATCCTATTTTGAATATACAGATATGAAATGGTCCTTCATTTTTATCCCTTTTTTTGTTTAGTTTTGTCAGAGAAGAGTATTCCATTGTCATTTAAATATTGTAAGTGTGTGAATTCAGCAAAATATTCCAGTATAGTCCAGTAGTCCATAATAGTAGTGGGAAAAGACAATGTTAATTTTTTTGTTTGTTTTCTTTTGTTTTGCAGAACTGGGGATTGAATTCAGGCCCTTGTACTTGCCAGGCAAGCATTTATTCTACTGAGCCAACTCCCCCCTCTCATCTCAAGATAATTGCAACATCTTCAGAAGGGTGGGGAAGGATTGTAGGAGTCACAACATCTTAGCAAGGGTGCGTAATGAGTGGAGAAGTGAGGCATTCCAGACAGGATCATGTAGAGTTCACTCTACCTTAGTGTCTCCTATTTCTAAGGTGGATTAAAAGCTAAACTAGAACTTCTTTTGCTAGCATAAAATTAACCCAGTTGACAGCTGCCATCTCCTGTATTACAAATGATACTTCTAAACCTCATGTAATTGATAGAAGAGATGTAAAATAGCCAGCATGTACTCTGTTCTGAAAGAATGACCTTGGTTTGGGGAGATAGCTCTGTAGAATAAGCACCTGCCTGGCAAGTGCAGGGTCCTGAGTTCACTCCCTGTTACTGCAAAAAATAAATAAAAATAAATGAATGACCATTTTTCATGAAGCTTCTCTCATCTCCCAAATACCTTCTTTAAGGACTAGAAAAGACCAAAAGTAACAGAATAGGCTTTCCTTTAATAAGTCTTAAAGGAGGTGTATCTGGTTTCTTTGATGATTATCTTTCAACAACATTTTTCTCAAATCAGATGGTCACAGGAATCATCTGAAAGCTTAAAAAGTACCTGACAAATAGGTAACACTCTTGGAGTTTTCAATTTAATTGTCTGATGTAGCGGGTCGGTTTAAAAACAAATTCTCAAGTGATCCAGTGACCTAAAAACACCAAGCGCGACTGACAAGGACAGTGGTCTTCACCGTAGCTACGCTGTGAGCCCCGTGCCCAGCTCTCACCTGGGCCAGTCCCTTTGGAGTCTCTGGTGAGACTGAACGAGATATGTGTGCCTTTCTGAGTTTCCCACACAGTTCCAGTATGTAGCCAGCACTGAACCCAGTGTTCTGGAGATTCTTGGTTATTTTGTTTGGGATGGGTCTTACGAACTGCTATTTCTTTTTATTTTTATTTATTTGTTTATTTTTTTGTATTTTAGGGAAGAGTCTACAGGTTATGCAGGGTCTCACTACTAGATTGTATCATAATGATCCACCTCTTTACAGCCTCCCAAGTGCTGGAATTACAGGCCTGCACCACCATGCCCAGTCTCAGGAACTCATATTTTTTTATTGGTATCTGTCTCAGTTACTCTTTTCTTATTGCTGAGACAAATACCCAACACTCACAATGAAGGAAGGAAAGCTTTAGTTAGCTCACAGTTACTGCAGGTTTCAGTCCATACTCAGCTGGCTCCAAGGCAGAGTAGAACATGGCAGAGAACAACCTTTCATGGGGTGGCAAACAGCAGAGAGCGAAGGGAAGTGCAGCAGCTCAGGCAGCTAGCTACTCTCAGCTCCTTACACTGTAATGCAGATTACTTGCTTTAGGGCAAGTGCAGCATCCACACCCACAATAATCTATCACAAACTCCAGAAGCGCCCCCCCCATAACTGCATGAGGCTTTGGGGGGACACTTACAAACCAGGACAGAATCCAAGCTAGTTTCAATATACAAAGTAAGTGAAAAACTACTTAATAGTTTCATTGGTGTCATTTTCCCCCCAAAATCCCCCTTTGTCATTAATATTCTTCAGCCTGTGCATTTAGGCTTTTTTCCTTGACCCAAATCATACCAAACAAGTTTTTTTTTTTTTTTTTTTTTTTTTTTTTTTTTTTTTTTAGAGAAGGGTCTACAGGGTGTTCAGGGTCTCACTACTAAGACCAAACAAGTCTTGAATAAGGGTTACAGTGATCTAGAGGTCTAGATTCATGAACAATTATGGATCAATGCAGTCATTGACCTCTGTGTATTCCTGAACTAGTCTCATTAGTGACCAAAAATTCATTGAATATATACTGTATGCCAGGAACTCTGTAATGAATTGTGAATATAATGACAAACATTGCTTACATTTCAAGGAAGTTATAGATTTATAGGGATGAAGGTGGGATAAAAACACTTAGAGGTATGACAAGAGTATTCATTCTTACAGTGGATGAGTGAACTAAGAATCACAGGAAAACAAAAATGATAGCAACTACCTTTGCCCTGAGTATGTGCTTGAAGAGCTGCTGCTTAAGCTAAACCAACCCAACTCTACCTAAAATAACCTCCATGGTGTGATTTCTAGTTCATTTCTTACTATGCCCTCCTTGATTTCAACTTTAGCCATACTGACCTCCTTTCCATTCTTTGACCATCTAACGCTCTCTTAAGCCAATAAGATTGTTATTTATTCCCGACGCCTGAAACGTTTTCTCTCTTTTCCTACTTCGACTTCCTATCTAGGACTTGGTTTAGCTCTTTCACAAAGAGGTGCTCTGTGATGATACTGTGTGTATTTTTGTTACACGTCCAGATCCCGCACATAGTGCTTTGCTTGTGGCACACACACCTTTTTTGTTCGTCTGTGATATGCATGCCTGTATATTGTCTTATGTCACAATGCAGGGTCCAGCACAACTGAGTCAGTGAATGAATGAAGGAATGAATTTCATTCCCAGAACAAGAGAGAATATGTGTTGAGCCATGGAGACATGGCATTCCGTGGCATGTTCTAGGAATCACAAATATTTTAGATGGCCAAAATATAGCATAAGAAAGAACAGGTGTCCAAAGATGAGTAGAAGGAAGTTAGCTAGTAAAGGCCTTCTATAAAACCCTAGGTGGTCTGGACTTCACCCTGAAGGATGTCAATATCAATAAGATTTTAGAACAAGTATAATAGTTAGAATAATAATGGTAGTAATGGTAGTTCATAATAATAACAATGAATATATATCATTCAGGACAAATAATTACACTAGAAGCAGTGTGGAAGATGGACTGAAAGACTAATTTAAGGGAAATTGGTCACGAGTTGTTCCTATATGACAAGTGAGAAATTATAAAGCGTTCCCTGAAATAATGAAGTGAAGAAGCTACACTCAAAAAGCTTTTTGGGATAGACTATAGCAGTAGTAATTGATGACTAATTGCATGTGGGGGAGTGAATGGAAAAGATGATGACACAGGCTAGCTTAGGAGACAATGCTTGGAGTACTATTATTGGAAATATAGAATTTAGGGAGCGGAAATTATTTTCACGGGAAGAAATAATGAGCTCAATTTTAAACATATTGAGAGTTTTATGTACTTATTGGGTATTAGGACACAGAATTTTATGCAGCTAAAAGTACATAAAATCTCACCTTGGTATCTTGTTGATTATAGATGTAACCAGTGTTCTCCAATTGACTATTGACTTCCAGTTTATGTACTAAAAGAAAAACTTCAGAAACTGACAGTGTCCTATTGATTTCATGATTTGTGTTACTCTAGGGTACAACTGGCAATCAAAGTAACTGTTTCATGGAGAGTCTCTCTAAAGTCACTTTGTGGTTATGTTATGTACATACACCTATATTAACCCCACTTAAATTCTGAAGTAGTAACAATCTCATCATAGGTGGATACACTTAGTCCTTTCTTATTAGATTGTGAATTCAGTGAATTCAGGAAAGATGTCTGTTATTCTTGCCGAACTTAGTGCCAGTTATAATGGGAATTTGGATGGGTGGATGGATGCACACATGGATGCATGGATGGATGGAATGATTGTATAATTAATTTGGGGAATATGTGATACTCTTTGGAGCTAGTGACCTAGCAATTAATTATATCTTACTAGTTAAATGCCTAAGTGACTTTTCAGTGAACTGTTGACTATAGCAATAGGAGAGAAGAGATATTTTTAAGTACTTAAAATAGCTTTTTGTGACATTTTTCCTTGGCAACATGAATTAACCCAGGGATTTTTAAATTTTATAGCCATAAAAGACATTCCTTTATACATTAACCTCTGATACATCGAAAACTCTTCACTGGTGTGGCTCTAGGAGCTGAGAATTAAAGAAATGATCATATTAGTATTTTAGGCAGATCACTCCATGGACCCTATGAGGAGGCTGGGGAAGAACAAATTATTCCAGTTGACAGAGAAGAGATGAGGAGGACCTGGAATAGTGTAGTGCTAGTGAAATGGAGAAACATTGATCTTTCATCAAATATTTATTCATTGTGTTATACCAGCCTGTGGGAGGCCATGGCAAACAAACCAGATGGGTGCTAATGTTCAAGGAATTTATGTACAGGTGAAGGAGATACATACCGATCAAATCATCAGACTAACAACTACGAGATTTTGCTGTGGTAAATGTCACATGTGGAAAAATCAAGCAAAAGCATCGCCAAGGGAAAACTGATAGAACTACTTGGTTGGAGGGATAACAGAATAAATGAGAGATATGTTTCTTTCTCTTTTCTCCTTACTCAAACAGATTTGTATGACAAAAATAGCATATGTGAAATGCCATAAAAAGGATGTATGAAGTAATGAATTTTGTGGAACTGGTTAAAATGACTATTACCAAAAGATGAAATCAATAAATTCTGAGTTATGAATTCTGATTTGTGAAGTTAATTCTCCTTGATTTTCAATTGGCACAAGATTGTCACTCAATTGGAGTAATTTGTGGTTCCCCCCACATACACTGGCTTAGCCCTTCCTTGAGGGTGGGGCTGGTGCGGCATGTGGTGCTTGCTTAAGCAGGAACTTTAGATAGCTGAGCTATCTGGCCAGCCCTGGAATAATGTTAATATGCTGATAAGATACAATTTTTTATACATCTCTCTATTTTAATTTTTTTCATTCAGATGTTGCAAGAGCAATTGAGTTACTGGAAAAGCTGCAGGAATCTGGAGAAGTCCCAGTGCACAAGCTACAGTCCCTCAGAAAAGTGCTGCAGAGTGAGTTTTGTACAGCAATTCGAGAGGTAGGATACTAAGATTTTAATATTTAGGCATATGTTCTCTGAATAGAAAACATGTCCTTTCCACACAAACAGTTGATATAGTCAAGACTGGTACTATATCTTAACTTTCTGTTTTTAGCTGCTTAGACAGATGATAAAATATAATTTAGTCTGCTAAATTCTCAAATTAGACCCAGCCAGGATTTATATATTCATATAAAACCAAATGTTGATCTTAGGGTACCAAAAAATAGATTGCCTCATCAGGTGACTGTTGCCTGAAATCTAAACGATTTACTAATCACAGGAAGCCACCTGGAAATTCAGGTAGAAGCACTCATAATTAACAAGGCCTATACTTTTTTAAAAGAACAGTCAAGTACTTATTTCACAGGAAATCTGAAAGAGTAACCTTCTGTTGACTGAAGTTATATATATCCAAATATTACAGTCTAGAGTGATCATGATAATGCTTGTATACCTTTATAGCCTACCTTTGGAATGTTTTCTTGGCTAATGGTTTCGAGAGGCATAAAGTGAACAAATGTGTTGAAATAGCTACTTGGATTTTATATTGACTTGTGGTAGAATTGACCATTCAAATAATTAGTTAAATAGGTTATAAGAAAAGTCCTTTGAACTTTATAGGCTTACTCAATAGTCCATTAACCCTTACCTATCAGGTGCTAGATAATAATTCATTAACTTTCACAGAGCCCATAAATCTAGTGTATTTGTCCTTCTCAGGTTCCCAGTGATGAATTACCTACTGGCATCCTCTCCAAAACCAAATAAACCCAATGAGTTCCTTGACAGCTTATTGTACAATAGAGCATTATACCTCTCAAGAAATCCATGTTTCAATTATCTTTACTCTTTATAAATTGACGTGTGGCTAATGATATCCCCAATTGTACTAGTGTTTGCAGTTAGGACTGCAAAAGATACAGTGACTAAGGTAGGGATGTGAAAAGCTTTCTCAAAACTTAAACTGTAACCTGGGGTGGGGAGATAGCTCAGCAGTCTAAGCGCCTGCCTGGAAAGCGCAAAGATTTGAGATGGATCCCCGTACTGCATGCCACACCAGCCTTGGAACCTGGAAGCTGGGTGTGTGTGCTGGCCCCCAAACCAGGTGTGGTGGTGCATGCCTGCAATCCCAGTGCTGGGCAGGCTGAGATAACAGAATCACTATGAGTCTGAACTGCATCGTGATATCCTGTATCAAAAAAAAAGTGAAATTAATAAACTCTAACCTGTACAATGCAATTAATATTGGGGAGCTTGCTGAAGTTTAGTCTGTACTCTGCTTCTACTAAGTATTTATCAAATAAAGTTTTTCACTATTTAATTTTTGTTAATAATGAACACAGTTTGGACAAGCAACCGTAATTATATCTCAAAGTTTTAACCTAAGAATTGATCAAAGGCTTAAAAGAAATCTCTCAAGAGTGTCTGAGTTCTCTGCAACTGACCTTTCCTCAATGGAAAATACATAAGCTTCTGAGAAACCCCACAGGCTGTCTCTTGGTTAACCTCCCATCTATGACCACTCTATAGACAAAGGCTGAATTCCTACTCTTTTTTCTTTCTTCGTAGAGTGCCATTCACCTGAGATCATGGACCATTTTTTTTTTCTTTTTAAGAGATTTTATCCTTCTGTGTCATTGCATTCTGCTTTCCACAGAACTAAGTATAGGATGCATCAAATATTTATCTCTTCACTGAACATACAGTAGCTCCTAACCAACTCAGTCTGAGCTCATGGAAATTGCATTCCATTAAGATAAGTACACAGTTTAGTATGAAAAAGTGACAAGATTACAGACAAAAAATAAAGCAGGATTAGAGGTGTTGGGATAAGGCTGTACTAAGGGTGGTCAGATTAAAAAACCTAAGTAAAATAATGGAATAATTCACCAAAATATCAGGAAAAAATTGTTTAAGGCACAGGAAACCACAAATACAAACACCCAGGGGCAACGATGATCATAATACATCAAAATAATAGCCCCAAAGTCAGTATTATTCAGTGGAATAAGTAAAGTAGGGTCCTTAGATATAAGCGAGAAAGCTGGTCACCTAAGGACTCCAAGCCACATTCAGAACATTGTACTTCATTCTATGTGAGATCAGAGGACCTTCGAGAATTCTGACCTGACCCAATTTGTGTTTTGGAAAGATCACTCTGGTTACTGTGAGAATACAAGAGAAGGTACAAGAATACAAACAAGTGAAACCAGTAATAATGTAATGAGATCAG